AGGTCCTCCCGCAGTGGAAGCAAAAGCCAAGGTGAAGATGAGGCTGAAGTTGGTGAAACGCCATCGTCACAACAGGAGGTGGTTCATGAGGTCACTCCGCTGGGGACACCCCCGACTCTGCCGTTGGTTGGAGTTGGTCGTCGTACGTCTGTTCTGTTTAAAAAAGCTAAAAATGGGGCACGAATGGTAAAAAACAAGTTCCTACCACAGCAGAACGGTAAAACCAACGGGTTGGACAGCACCCCCGCCAGCCCAAATTCACACAGTGTGACCAACATCACCACCACCTTACCTCCCACTCCAAACGCCTCCCCTGCACCTCCCTCTCCTTCCTCACACCACCTGAGGTCCAGAGGCCCGAGCTCAGAAAGTGAGGCAGACAAACTCCCTCCACCACCCAGAGAAGCAGGTAAGGACAAAATGCATCACTTCAATACAGCGAGAGATTCTAAAAAGTCCATATTTGTCACCATTGCATTGGTGTTTCTGCTAGGCCTGACTAATGGAAAGCACACCTCTGCAGACCATGATGATGACGACCAAAAACTAAAGTGAGTATTGAGTCACAGAGGCAATGGGCCCAACACAGAGGGGAACAGGTAGCCTTTTATAGCAATTTTAGGGTTGTTGATTATGCTAATTATCTTACGAATCTCACAAATGTGCACCTCGTCATGAACAAGTTGCATTCATCGGGCTGAAACAAGCCGGTAACGACAAGTTTGTGCAGCCCAGAGAGTTTAGTGAATCCAACTTAAACACTTGTACAAGCAAGCCTCAAAGAAAGAAGTAAGAAGTTTAGCATAAGAATGAGAAAATGTTCTTGCATGAGGCCCATTGTCTTTGAAATGCTTAGCTATTAAATTGTCTAGGGGTGACCCCGAATACTCGGCTATTTGACGATTCGATCAAAGGAGCCTGATTTCACTGCCACAGTGACTAGAAAATGTGGTTATGAAACAAAGGATCATAAATAACAACATAGCCTTTTCGAAATAAAACAATTGGCCCACATTTATTAATATGATGACTAGATATATTTTGAATTTATGAACGATTCTCTAAAATCAACAGGGGGAGGCGTGTTGAAACAGCTGTATGCGGCTCCCACCTCTCTTTCTCTCTTTGACTGTCTGTGTAGCAAATGTCCCCGCTGTGGTGCTAATAAAGGATTATCTTATGTTATCTTGTTTCCCTCCTGTGGATTAATACAATGGGTGGAAATGGAATCGGGACCGAAAGTTCAATTTACAACCACAAAAAGCCAGCAGTCTGTCTACTGACTCGCCGCAACTACAGAAACGCACAACAATTTTGAAACAACGGCTCAGCGATGGCAACACGAATGTCCAATCAGATTCAACAATGTCAATTCTTAGTCGGGGACACCTCTAGAATAGATAGTCTGACCATACATTGTGTGTTAACCTCTCTTGCTTTTCTCTCCTCTTGTCTGCAGCTGTAGTGTCTCCCCACCCAAACGAAGTCGTGGTAAACCTGCGTTGGCAAAGGTTCCTAACAGTGACCATGGAGACATCTGTGGGTCTGGTGTGTATGATGAGAAGGCAATGCAAATATAGTGAAATGCCTCAATTTTTGAGTGTTTATAATGTAACATTTTGCACACAAAGCTTTTTTTTATGAGCAATACAATTTCATGAAATTTTCAGTTCCGGCTCAAGACGTGTCCTGAATACATATTAATTGGATGTTCACAGGACAGTCCACACTTCTGTCTGTAGATAGCGAGGCCGAGCTCGGACCTCTGGACCTGGTTTGGGCCAAATGCAGAGGATATCCATCATACCCAGCCATGGTGAGGACCTATTTGCTCTCAAAGCTGACAAAGAACAAGGCCTCATTGCATCCGGTAGAGGGGCACGATAACTCAGTCAAGTTTAACTGACGTAGTTTGTGGTTACAGATCGTTGATCCAGACATGCCCCAGGAAGGGCTTCTTCACAACGGCATCCCCATTCCCGTGCCTCCCGTGGAGGTGCTCAAACTGGGCGACTGGAGAGAAACGGAAGAAGGGGAAAAGCTCTTCTTGGTGCTTTTCTTTGACACCAAAAGAACTTGGTAAGATTCAGACAGGCAAAACATTTTAATATTTAAAAACAATGGCGTCTTGGTCACTTTGAAAATTGTGCCTCTTGGGTTTTCAGGCAGTGGCTCCCTCGGAACAAACTGCTGCCGATGGGGATGGATGACACTGTAGACAAACTGCGCCTAATGGAAGGCAAGAAACCCAGTGTTCGCAAGTCTGTACACACCGCATACGACCGGGCCATGGTACATTTAAATCACGTGAGAGGGAATGTAAACTTCACTCCATCCAATTTTATATAAGGTTTTAAGATTTTATCCTCTTAAACAGGCTGTGTGGTTATCTGTATAGAAGCTTCGTCGACGCTCCTAAAGGTGGGAGTGTAAAACAGAAGGTTAACAGTTGGTGTATTTCTTTTCATAAAACTGTTTCTCTGATTTATAACAATGGAGAGAGAAGTGCTTGGAGACGTTTTCCTAGATGAATTTGTTCATTTATTCATGTGATTTTTGTAAAAGATTTTACACAACCACTGTTGCTATGTGTCTATAGAAAGTTTTTATTTTAGGCCAAAGTGAGTCGAGACTTATGTGAGCGAAGTGTAAATATGAAATGGTCAAAGGGGAACGTCTTGATTCCAAATATATTTGGATTGTATTTGCCATTGAAGTGTCGCTGTGTTTAAAGTGTGAAAGTCCCACTCAATGTTCCCGTCATGTCTGGACACCACAGAAGAAGAGTTACGTTTTATAAATTATAATTCTAAGTGGTATATATGTAAACTATATTTTCAAATGAATGTAAAGAGCACCACACTTAAAACCATCATATATATATTTAAAATAACCAAATCAAACCTGCTCAAGCTGGCATTGACATTATATTTACATCCAACCCAGCGGTGGATCATAACTTCGTTCGACTCCTAGAGTATATTTTGAGTGTGTCCATATTTTATTCAACAATTGTGAGAATTGCTCAGTTAATACAAAAGAACAATTTGAAATAAATACTGATACCAGATGCCAAGGCCAACGTGGAACTTTTAGTCCAGATATGACGCGTTGTCGGTGGGACTTTAATTATTTTTTTCCATATTGTGAAACTGTGTTATACTAGAATGATGGAGTACCCGGTGCAGCTACTTGGTTAGTGAGGTGTGAAGCCACTACAAAGATGAAGCTGATTATGTGGTTATAACAAGTTCTACTGCGATCACTCGCTGAAGAACTTGCAAATCTGGCTGAAATGACTTGAAAAGCACAAAGAGTTTTAAAGAAGACTTGTAGGATTAGTGACTCCTGGAGGTGTGTGTGTGTGTGTGTGTGTGTGTGTGTGTGTGTGTGTGTGTGTG